CTCTCTCCCCATGCTAAAATCTCCCCATCCCCTCTCTCCCCATGCTAACATCTTCCCACCCTCTCTCTCCCCATGCTAACATCTCCCCACCCTCTCTCTCCCCATGCTAACATCTCCCCACCCTCTCTCTCCCCATGCTAACATCTCCCCACCCTCTCTCTCCCCATGCTAACATCTCCCCACCCCCTCTCTCCCCATGCTAACATCTCCCCACCCCCTCTCGCCCCATGCTAACATCTCCCCACCCTCTCTCTCCCCATACTAACATCTCCCCACCCCCTCTCTCCCCATGCTAACATCTCCCCACCCCAGCTAACATCTCCCTCACTCTCACCCACACCCCTAGCTAACTTCTTCCTTACCTCCTCCACCTCTTCCCCACTTCTTCCTGGATTCGATATTGATTTCATTTGTGACTGTTTTTCTATCTGTAATCTCCCCGCCTTCCCCCACAGGGATTTTGATTCTCCCCCCGAGTGGTTTTCTTGTTTCAACGCACAGTGAGGAACATGTCAGAAAGGATGGCTGTCTATTTCTATAACTGGACGTGCAAACTTTAACATAAACCCACTCAAACCCCTTCCTCAGAAATGGGGTGTTGGTTACAAAGTGGTTCAGATGTGATTATTTTCTCCCAGCTTGCTGTGTAATCTTGGACTCTGAGCAAATTCCACTCTCTGGCCCCTTTCTCCTGATCCGAGGATATCACATCTCAGGCTGTTATGTCAGGAACAGCCCTAACATGGCCTGCTGGCAAAATACGGAAACACCATCTGCCCTTGCCCCCTCTCAGCTCTTCCCCGGGTCTCGTGGACAGGCTGGGCCTGAACGGATTGAGTCAGTTGGAAGTTGCAATGATGGTTGACCTTCACAAAGTGGAGGTGGCTCCATAACCCCGATCACCGACTAACAAACTGGGAGTGGGTGGCCACGAGACATTACTCCCTAATCAATATGTGCAGAGACATTATTACACGCCGCTGGAACAAGTGGAACTTGAGGTAGGGACACTACCACTCTGCTGAAGCAGCCTTCATTAGATGAGAATCATAGAATCCCTACAGTGTGGGAGCAGGCCATTCGGCCCTTTGAATTCACACTGCCCCTCCAAAAAGCATCCCGCCCAGACCCACCCCCAACATTAGCTCTGTAACCTAGCCTGCACCTCCCTGGACACTATGGGTAATTTCCCACAGCCAATCCACCCCAAGCTGCACATCTTTGGACTGTGGGAGGAAACCGGAGCACCCAGAGGAAACCCAAGCAGACATGGGGAGAATGTGCAAACTCCACACAGACAGTCACCTGAGGGTGGAATCGAACCCGGGTCCCTGGTGCTGTGAGGAGCTAACCACCGTGCAAGCTTAGTCGCAAGTGTGATGCCCTTCTTTGCTAAATAGCCTGCCGAGTGTCACTTTGAGGCATGGATGAAGAGAGGCTGCTGGAGTGTGATGGCTTCCCCAGAACTGGAGCTCAGTGATGGGGAGGGGGAGAGCAGAGCTGGCTCGAAGCTGGGGAATGGGATGTGACTCTGTGAAGGAGCTGAAAATGCTGTCTGTTCTTTCTTGTAGTTTGACGAAGGGCGTGCGGACTTTCAGTTTAACGAAGGGGAGCTGGAACACGACAAAATCATTCAGTTTCTGCGACAGAACGAGATGCGTTTGGTCATCGAGTACAATCACATGGTAATGTGCTGCAGCCATCTCCCAGATCCCAAACCGAGAGGGCCAGTGAGGTACAGCACTCCCTATAGCAAGCCCAGCTCTTTCAGAGGCTATAAAACACCAGGGCAGGACCACAGGTTACTGGGCTGTTACTGGGCTGGAATGGGAGGCTGGAGAAAGAACTCAGAGAAACTATAACAAGAGGAACACAATGATTTAGGATTGATATCAATGAGATCTCTGATGAGGATTGACCTCTTCTATGGGGAATCCCCATGACTGTGTAAAGGGGGAATCAGAGGCTATGATTGGAAGGAAAGTTATTCTATAATGGCTGGGTTCAGATAGACCAGTGACATTCCTTGTCCATTTTGAACACACGGAGATAAACCTGTCAGCAAATGAATTTTGAGTTAACCGGGATCCAGGAGATCCTGAAATCCCAGGTGGGGAGTTCCTCGCCACTGAATCAGCTTCTTCTGAAGGAGTCAGAAGATAAGGAGATTTAGAAAGTCAGCTAAAGATGAGACTTAAAACACAAACTTGGAACAATGGAGAAACTCAGCAGATCTGGCAGCATCTGTGGAGAGACAGAGAGAGAGAGAGATAGAGGCAGAATTAATATTTCAGGGCCAGTCACCCTTTCTCGGAACTATCCAATTGGTCATTGGGAAGTGGGACACTGTGGTGATGGGCAGTTCCAGAAACCAATGGTGGGAGAGAGGTGGTGGGTGGTCCCTGAGATAAACACCATGCCCCTCAGGTTTGGAGCCAATGATGAGCCTAAAGCTGTGCACCATTGGCCAGGAGCCTCATCACCACAAACCCCCCACCAACGGCCAGTGAGCTAGCACCACCTAAATGAATCTGATCCAAACTCAGCTGGAGGAACATCAAAACTAAAAGGAGCCATAGGCCCTTCGGCCCCTCAAACCTACCATTCGATGCGTTCCTAGTCCATTGCCCAGCTGTTCCCACTGTTTTCTCTTGGATCCCTTTAGCCCTAAGAGCGATAACTAACTCCTCCTTGAGAATACCATGGCCTCAGCCACTTCCTGTTGGAGTGAAATATAGAACAGTACAGCACAGGAACAGGCCCTTCGGCCCACAATGTTGTGCTGAACATGACGCCAAATGAAACTGACCCCTTCTGCCTGCGCTTGGTCCATATCCCTCCATTCCTTGCGTATTCATTTGCTTCTCTAAAAGTCCCATAAATGCCCCTATCCTTTCTGCCTTCACCACCACCCCTGGCAGCATGTTTCAGATTCCGACCACTCTCCGTGTAAAAAACTTGCTCCTCACATCTCCTTTCAACTTCCCCCCCTCACCTTAAATGAAGGTTCCCCAGTACTAGACATTTCAACTTTGAGAAACAGATCCTGACCATCAACCCTATCTTTGCACCTCAAAATTTTGTAATTGTGGGGATGCCAGTGTTGGACTGGGATGGACAAGGTCAAAAATCACACAACACCAGTTTATAGTGAAACAGGTTTATTTGAAAATGCATGCTTTCAGAGCTCAGCTCCTTCCTCAGGCATAGTGTGAGAGAGAGGGCATATAAGACACAGAATTTATAAGCAGAAAGGTAACAACCCTAAAACTGGCTGTGTCTTGTTGAATCTTTAATCAGTTAGGAAGGAGACTACTGATTAAAATACAAAATCCAGATTCCTCTCAATTCATTGCCCCTACCTTTGGGTAAGAGTCCTCCAAGGTGGACTTTGAAATACACGACAACGCAGAGTCGCTGAGCAGGGGCTGATAGCCAAGTTCCATCCCCATGAGGACGGCCTCAACCGGGATCCTGGGTTCATGTCGCACTGCAGGTGACCCCACCACACTATATACACTCTCACACACATACTCACACACACACACACAGACACTCACACTAAACATTCTCACACACACACACTAACACACACACTCACACTATACACTCTCACACACTCACACAAACACACACACACACACACTCTCTCTCACACACACACACACTCACACACACACTAACACACACACACACACACTCACACACACACACAGACACACACACACATACACACACACATACACACATGCACAGACACACACACACACACACACACACAGACACACACGCACATGCACACACACACACAGACACACACACACACACACACACACATGCGCATGCACACAGACACACAGGCACACACACCCATGCATGTATGCACACATACACACACACGCATATACACACACACATGCACAGACACACACACACACACACACACATGCACAGACACACACACACACACACACGAACAGACGCACACACGTACACACACCCACACATGCACACACACACATGTACACACACACACATGCACACACACACACGCACACGCACTCACGCACACACATATATACAGGCACAGACACACACACACAAAATTATTTCATCCAAGATGTTTTGTGTAGTTGCAGATGCATTCTGTTTTGCTCAAAAAAAACCTGACCCCAGTGTAGAACACAGACAGATTCTAAGCAAGACTTGGCACCTAAAATGCATTGTCTGACCTGAGATGTCACCTATTGTATACATTGAAAAACCTTCAATTACCTAGAGGCAATGAATTGCGAGGAATCTGGATTTTGTATTTTAATCAGTAGTCTCCTTCCTAACTGATTAAAGATTCAACAAGACACAGCCAGTTTTAGGGTTGTTACCTTTCTGCTTATAAATTCTGTGTCTTATACCCTCTCTCTCACACTATGCCTGAGGAAGGAGCTGAGCTCCGAAAGCTTGAGTTTTTAAATAAACCTGTTTCACTATAACCTGGTGTTGTGTGATTTTTTTGACATAATGTTATAGACTTCTATCAAGTCTCCCCTCAGCCTCTGTCACTCCAGAGAAAGCAACCTGAGTTTTTGTAGCCTTTCCTTATAGCTCATACCCTCTAATCCAGGCAGCATCCTGGTAAACGGTGTAGAGCTGGATGAATACAGCAGGCCAAGCAGCATCAGAGGAGCAGGAAGGCTGACATTTTGGGCCTAGACCCTTCTTCAGCATCCTGCACCCTCTTCTGCACCCTCTCCAAAGCCTCCACATCCTTCCTGTAATGTGGTGAACAGAAGTGAATGCAATACTGTAAGTATGGCCTAACCAAAGTCTTATAAAGCTGCACCATGACATCCTGACTCTCCCTGATCACTAAAGGCAATCACATAATAGGGCCTTCTTTACCTCCCTCTCCTTGCATGGCCACTTTCAGGGAGCTATCGACTTCAACTCCAAGATTGGTCTGTAGTGAAATACACAGGCTCCCCACTCTCTGGGTGAAGGTATTTCTCCTCATCTCAGTCCCATCCCGTATCCTTTAGATTGTAACTCCCTGGTTCTGGAATCCCTGGTCATCAGGAACATCCTTCCTGTACGTCTCGCTGTCTAGTGCTAGTGAAATCCAGCTCAGTGCAACTCAGACCAGACAAGCCGGAATCTAAAGACGCTGAAGGTTCACTGATTGCACAGCGATCCTACATTCACAATGACTCTGAGAGCACTACATTGTCTGGAAGCAAGCTCAAGCTCAAACTGACTTTGTTCCTCTTCTCCTTCCCCCAGGATGCCAGCCAGATTTTTGGGTCAGGGATTCCAATTCATCTCCTGCTCCTGGTGAGCAAGAGATCTGCAGAATACAGACCGCTCCTAAAACAGTTGAGAACTGTTGCCCCTGAGTTTCGGGGGAAGGTGAGTAAAAGGAATCAGGGCGCGTACAATTTGGAGAAGATTGTTAAAAAAAAGTGAAATACTGCATTTGCTACAAATCTGAGATGGGAGCTTTCTGTGTGCAAATTGGCAGCTGCATTTCCTGTATCACAATGATGTCTGCACTTCAACAATGTTTAATCGGTTGTAAAATGCTTTGGGATGTTCCATGGCTACAGAAATATGTTCTGCATTTTTATCAATATCTCATACAATCATAGAATCTCTACAGTGTGGAAACAGGCCATTCGGTCCACATCGACCATCCCACCCAGACAGCAACAATCCCACCACCCCCAACCCTATCCCTGTAACCCCATGACTAATCCATTTAGCCTGAATATTTAACTTCAGTAAAAGAAAAGGCACAGCCTGCAATCCTGCATTAAAATGACAGCCTGGCGTTGCGAGACGAGGTGAAGTTGGGGAAGGTAAGGAGGACAGAAACTGAAATTTGTCTCAGGTGGTGAGCAGGAACTGAAATTCTACATTTCACCCACTCACACTCAGGGGATGCTTTCTGCTCCTGTCACCAGGGAGAGTGGGGTGGGGGCCAGTTCCCATCATTTGATGCTAATTTGTGTAGGAATCTAATGATTTGAATGCCACTGGGAACCAATGCCCCACTTTGCCCAGTTTAACGTTGGGGAGTGAGCTCCTGATCCAGATTTCTCAGCAAAGGCTGGGAATGTTGCCAGTGGGTTCCTGTGGTGTTGTATGTTTCAGCCTCAGTGTGATACACAGTCCAGGGGAAAGTTACACAGAGACTCTGGTGTCCCAGTTGATGCACTGCAATTCCTCACCACGAGTCATGGGGCAGGGAAATTCTGTTTTATTATTCATTTACAGGATGAGGGCATTGCTGGTTAGGTCCAGCATTTATTACCCACCCTTATTTACCCAGGGGACAGTTAAGAGTCAGCCACATTGCTGTGGGTCTGGAGTCACATGTAGGCCAGACCAGGCAAGGATGGCAGTTTCCTTCCCTAAAGGACCTTAGTGACCCAGATGGGGTTTTCCTGATAGTCAGCCAATGGCCATCAGGAGATTCTATTTTCCAGATTTTATTTAGAGTCACAGGGTCATAGAGATGCACAGCACAGAAACAGACCCTTTTGGTCCTACCAATCCGTGCCAACCAGATATCCTATATTAATCTAGTCTCATTTGTCAGCACTCGGTCCATATCCCCCTAAATCCTTCCTTTTCATGTACCCATTCAGATCCCTTTTAAATGTTGTAATTGTACCAGTCTCCACCACTTCCTCTGGCAGCTCATCCCATACACGCACCGCCCTCTGTGTGAAAAAGTTGCTCCTTAGGTCCCGTTTAAATCTTTCCCCCCCTCACCTTAAACCTATGCCCATCTAGTTTTAGACTCCCCCACCCTGGGGAAGAGGCCCTGACTATTTACCCTATCCATGTCCCTCACGATTTTATAAACCTCTATAACCTCAGCCTCTAATGTTCTGGGGAAAATAGTCAGCCCAGTCCCTTTTTTAATTGAATTCAAATTCCACCATCTGCTACAGCAGGATTCAAATCCAGGTCCCCAGAACATTACTTGAGTTTCCGAATGAATAATCCAGTGATAATACCACTAGGCCATCACCTCCCCATGAGAATGGATTGCAGTTCAGGGAAATTTACACTTTGGTCAGTTCCATAGGAGGTTCTCGGGAAAAGTGCGACCACTCTTGGTTTTAAGACACAGCGACTCCTGTCCTCTCTCGCAGGTGATTTTTATTCTGGTTGACACAGATGTGAAAGAAAACAGCCGCGTGAGCACATATTTCAAGGTGAAGGAAGCTGAACATCCATCACTTTGTCTTTTTCACGTGGCGACAGAGGCTGTTGCTGTGATGAAAGCCAGTAACATCAGCTCGGATTCCTTACGGGAATTCTGCACTAACTTCATGGAGGGGAAAGACACGGTGAGAGATATTCGTTACCATTCTCCAGCTTCACCTTCACCGATCCCGCCTTATTCTGGTATCGTGTACATTCCCCACTTCTACCATTTCACTACTACGTCCCACCCTTTCAAATGCCTGGGTCCGAATGTCTGCAATACCCTCCCAGAGACTCCCCTCTGCCCTATTCTCTTTGAGCTTTTAGTCTCCTGTCCTAATATCTCCAACTTTCAAATCTAATGTTGATCTTGCTTTCTGTGCACCTTCCCTGCAGCTGTAACTTTGTATTCCTCGCTCTGTGCTATCACTCAACGATCTTTGTATGGCATGATATACCTGTACCGTGTGCAAAACAAAACTTTTCACTGTACGTAGGTACACATGAGAACAATAAATCAAATCAAATGTGTTGGTAATCAGTTTTTGATCTTTTTTCCCTGTGAAACACCTTGTGAGATTTTACCTGACAGCCTCAACAACAACATTTCTCACAGAAGGCAAACTACGTCAGAGACTCTGGAGAAATGCTGGTTGCTGTGAGAAGAGATCTCCCCCTGTAAACCCCCAGCACAATGTCATGTCGCCTCACTGCTGCAATTCGTGCTGTAGCCTGCAGAGGGCACTCTCATCTCAATTCACAAAGTGAACGGAATCCATCCAAAAGTCCCCCCCCATTAAACCCTCCCAGACAGGGAGAGCATGGGGTTAGGTACAGAGTAAAGCTCCCTCTACACTGTCCTCTCATCAAACCCTCCCAGGTACAGGGACAGCACGGGGTTAGATACAGAGTAAAGCTCCCTCTACACTGCCCCCATCAAACCCTCCCAGGACAGGGACAGCACAGGGTTAGATACAGAGTAAAGCTCCATCTACACTGTCCCCCCGCATCAAACCCTCCCAGGGACAGGGACAGCACGGGGTTAGATACAGAGTAAAGCTCCCACTACACTGTTCCCCCCATCAAACCCTCCCAGGACAGGGACAGCACGGGGTTAGATACAGAGTAAAGCTCCATCTACACTGTCCCCCATCAAACCCTCCCAGGACAGGGACAGCACGGGGTTAGATACAGAGTAAAGCGTCCTCTACACTGTCCCCCATCAAGCACTCCCAGGACAGGGACAGCACGGGGTTAGGTACAGAGTAAAGCGT